TGATTGGTGCTTGGAATCTTCACTTTGACCAAAATTTTAAACCACATTTGAACATTTTTCGAACTAAAAAAACCCTCTTTTATAAAAGAAGTAGCCGTTTTTAACCATAAAAGTTCAAAATTTCAAATTTTAATCCAACCATTATAAATAAACAATACAATCTTAACATTTTACACATATAATATCATTTTTTCTCTAACAAAAATTCTCAATTCACCAAACAAAATGTCTCACCTAGCCACAACAAAACCTCAAGGGGAAAAAAAACTTCAAACCTTCGATCATCAACTTGTTATCAACTTTCACTCGAACAATCAATTCATTCATCCATTAGTTACAATTATCCTATTATTGCTCCATAAATGTATCCACTCCATCCATATTCTTTTTAATTCCAATATGAACTCATGCCATTTTACCAAAACTAACCCCAAACTAATTTCCAATCCTAACCCATATCCCGTCCAAATTTCGAACTTGATCCGTTTGAGTGGGTTCAAGAAACCTAATTCTTTTCCTAACACCAACCTCAAACTAATTTTCAATCAGAACCATGCCACCTAGTCGATGAGTTAACAAATTTTTCCAAAAGGACCCATTCGAAAGCTAGAAGTTGACCCCAAAGGAAAAAGTAAAAAAAAAAAAGACAAAATGCCAAGGATGGATGAATAAAGAAGAGAAGGCATTGACGCAAGAATGCTATATTGAAGGATTCGATGACGTAGGGAGACAAAATTTGACAACCTTTAAATTTGGAGTTTGGAAACGTTTTTGTACCCGAAATGAATAAGGCATACAACATTACTAGTCAAGTGTACTTGAAATGGATGACCGCTAACAAAAATTTAATGAAGTTCAACGACATCTACATGAACGCAATCCGCAACCTGCAAATAGGTGCAAATGAGGTGGATATCATAACAAAATGTCGTCAAATTTATAAGGCAAAAGTCTGAAAAGCTTTTGCAAACGAGGCGTTTTGGGGAGTCGTGATGCTCAAACCATAATGACTGAATTTAAAAAGTATTGATGATTTTGCAGGTATGTCCAAACGAAACAAAACTTCCGAGTCAACTCGTCAATCTTCTGAATCGCATATCGGGGTTGACCTCAACCACGGAGATCCATATGAAGCTCCAACTCATTATATGGTACGAGATCACAAGACAAAACAAAAAGAAAGCTAAAAGGAGTTCAAAGTTTATCGAGTGAAATGGACGAGATAAGGGCCGACATCCAAGTGTTCGACACTAACCTTGATAAATATATGGAATTGGGAAAAGAAAAAGAAAAGAACCGTGTGTTAAAGCTTAAAAAAAAACAAAAAACTTGTCCGAGAAGGATCGTCGGATTTTCACCAATTCAAGAACGGAGATTGTTAAACAATATCAGTTGGATAAATAGTAATGTTTTTATGTCTTAAATATAGTGTTAATTTATGTTTTAAGTCGAATAGAAAGTCATATTTTAGGTATTAAGCTGTGTTTTAAGTATTAATTCATTTTTTAGGTATTGGGTCAAGTTTTTAGGAAGTAAATCATGTTTTAATTTATTAATCATATTTTATGTTTTAATTTATCGGAACCATTTTTATTTGCTATTAAGTGTTTGTGTTTTAAAAAAACATAATTTATATAATATTAAATGTTTGGGTATGAAAAAATATAGTTTATTTAAATTTGAAAAAGAAAAAAAAATCAAGAAGTGCTACCAATCTCTATGAAATTCTAAAAAAAAATGCACTATCAATGCAAGACAGCATTGTTTCACTGTGATTTGAAGCAACTGATTTTTAAAATAACCTGAAATTTTATTATTTAAAAAAGTTACTTTTTTACTTGAAAAATTATGTTTATCAAACACGATTTTCGGTTATTGATTTTTGAAAATCAATAACTTAATAAATCATTTTAAAAACCACTCCAAAATTATAACTCTTTGAACTGTGTTTCCACTTTCCATCCAAAATGGTGGAGGCGACTCTTTTGATTTTTAATTTGGCTGCGATAAATATCGGAAAAATTCCCAACCTCATTCAAATTACTTTTATGTTTTTACACGAAGAATTTATTAAGGTTTAATAGATCAAATAATAAAAAAACACTTTTATGTATCTGTGACTTTGTGAGCTGAGCATGTACTTTTTTTTTTGAGTAAATTACACGAATGGTCCCTATGATTTGGGGAAATTTACGTGATTGGTTCCTAACTTATTTTTTTAACTCGGAAGATCCCTGTTGTTTGTACTTGTTATGCGCTTGGTCCCTACTGTTTATTTTTGTTACATGTTTGGTCCCTATCTGAACTAAAAATACTATTATTTAAATAGGAAAAAATATTAGGATAGGTAAGGTAAGGTGAATAAATGGGGTTAAGGTTGTGTTTATTTAAATAAATTAAAAAAATCAAGGGTAAAATAGTCTTTTTAGGTAAGACATGGACCAAATGCGTAACAAAAACAAACAATAGGGACCTTCCGAGTTAAAAATATAAATTAAGGACTAAACGCGCAAATTACACTAAACCATAGGGACCATTCGTGTAATTTACTCTTTTTTTTTCTTAGTTCCATGGTTACTTTTGAGTTTGTTTCCTACTGTATATAGATCAAATAAAAATTTATTGACGCATTAAACATGTCGGGCATTTGGTCTAGTGGTATGATTCTCGCTTTGGGTGCGAGAGGTCCCGAGTTCGATTCTCGGAATGCCCCTTTTTAAAAGTTTTTTTTGTTTCCATCTTTTACCAAATCATAAGTTAATAGAGTAAAGTGCAGAATTTTACAACTAATTTGCATTTTGTACCATTTTTTGACGACAAATCATTGGATGCAACACTCCAACAAATAAATATAGGATGTTTGGATTTTTGTATACGGCTTGCCTTGCATGAGCAGCATCAACTGTTTTGTACATTTTGTATTATTTGAGGAAACAATTGTTTTGATAACTTCGAATTCATTTACACCAAATTGGATTTCTTTAGTGAGATTATTCTTAGAAATTATCCAAAGTACTAGTTTCTTTCCGCTTACAACCAAACGTGACATGTTATGCACATGGCCGTTCCAAACATATTTTAAACTTAGGAACAGAGAAAAAGACGGCCCTTAAAATACATAAATATCATCAATTTTTTTATAATAACTTAATAATACATGCTATATTTCAAATATAACAATTTTCATAAAAAATTTGGATCCATTTAAAAGATGAGTTCTGAACAGTTGCCCATATCACCCACCATTTGAGACGGGCCTCATGCGCTTGTTGACATGGTTATTTGTGCCTCAAAGTAAAAAAGACAAGAAAAGAGCACCGATATGTTTTAGACTTGTGACTTTAAAACAAAGAAGATTGTTGTACAACCAGAACAACACATTTTTGGGGAAAATCATTACTAATATATTATACTTTGCGCCTTGGTCTATTGGGGTAGCGATTGCCTTCTTGAGGTTACGAGTTTGAAACATAACATTACACTTTTTTTCTGTTTTTACTTTGAGGCTAAAAAATGATAAAAACCATAACACACCATATCAGGTTGCAACCAATTTTGTTATAATTGAGTTTTTGTTAGATAGATGAATATAATCACTAAAATGATAGAATTTGGTGTAAAACCAATAAAAAGTATAAACTTAGAGAACTTTCCAATAATAAGTGTAAACTTAATACTATTTTCTTGCCGATAGAACTTTCCAACCAAGGCTTTAAATGTAGAAATTTTGAAATGAAGGGTATCTTTATCAATCTGTTTTAACATCAGGGTCTTCTATATTAATTTATCGAGAAATAACTCGACTTCTCTCTACCGTTTATCTAAAATCAAACCAAACTTCTCTATCCTCTTATCCTATCTCTCCATTTGCTCCCCAGTCCTCTCTTGCAGTCTCTCCCGAGCTCTGCTCTAATGGCGTCTTCTACTCTCTCTACAATTACTTTGCGCTCCTTCTCTTATCCTTCCTACGCCGCCACCACTCAAGGTGCATCTCCCGCAGTCTTTTTCCCCAAACAAACCCTAGAATTCCCCCTCCGAACCCCCAAACTCTCCCACCGATCAACATTTATCCGCCCTGTTGCCGCCGTGGCCGAGGGGAAGGTTGTAGAGCTAGGAGATGAAATTTCGAACCTAACCCTTGCAGATGCACAGAAGCTAGTTGAGTACCTCCAAGACAAGCTTGGAGTCACCGCCGCTTCCTTTGCTCCTGCTGCGGTTGTTGCCGCACCTGGCGCTGGAGCTGAAGCACCTGCTGCCGTGGAGGAGAAGACGGAGTTCGATGTTGTGATTGATGAGGTTCCTAGTAACGCGAGGATTGCGACGATTAAAGCCGTTAGAGCTTTGACGAGTCTGGCGCTTAAGGAGGCCAAAGAACTTATTGAAGGACTTCCGAAGAAATTCAAGGAAGGAATATCGAAAGATGAAGCAGAAGAGGCTAAGAAACAACTTGAAGAAGCTGGCGCAAAAATTTCGATTGTTTAGATCACGAATTGGTGGTAACTTTTCCTGTTTCATGTTTGCCTAATGCAATGTGTTATTAGTTCTTCAGTTTTGTAGTTGAAATTTATCATATTACGATTTCATGCCTTAATTTACTCTCGATACTATCTTCATTTTCTCTGTTAAATCTGATGATATTAAATATTAATACCCCCTGTAACTGATTCATCCGAAGCTTTTGCTATATGTTCTTACGATTCTCCAAAGTATCTATTATGATGAACATTACGAGATGGCAAAAAAAATATATCTTATGAAATTCCATGATTCCTGTTTCTATGAATCAGAAGATATACTCTGCTCATTAAGTCATCCTTTTCAGGAATCTCATTGCATCCGTAATTTGTTTTCAATTTTTCAATGTGTCTCATTTCTCCAAGTGACCATAAATAAAAAGGATGCCTTTGCATCAAGTAATTTGTTTACTTGCATCAAATGAGTGTTTATATTGGCTGAAAGGTGAAACAAGTAAATATGACATGGTTGATATGTGTAACATATTGCTTTGCAGAAAAGGATTTGGAAAGTGAGATTTTTTAAAGAAAAGTAATACAGGAAGAAGAAAGAAGAAGAATCACAATGATAATATCGTTCTATTACATATTTATTAATGGTGAAACAATGAGGATATTATGTGGAATTATGGATCTAGCAATAGTAGAAGATGAAAGCAATACATAATCAATGAAATGCTACTAATTTTGATTATGAACTCAATATGCATATATATATATATATATATATATATATATATATATATATATATATATATATATATATATATATATATATATATATATATATATATATATATATAGATTAGAAGGAACCAAAAGTGTCATTAACATAGTCATGTCAAAGTACCCAAACCAGACCTATGCGTGTGCTTAACATCGTTGTGTCAATTTCCGACAATTGATCAGTTTTCCTTGGACATCTAGAGTACCCGGTTGGAGAGATCAACCACATAGGATGCTTGAAAGGCTACAATTGTGTTGTAGAAATCACTTAGATGCTTGATATCAACAATTTAATAGAAGTTGGCACTATTTTATTTATTTTTGTTTCAATTCTAAGAAGTTAATGGCTCCTCAAATGGTCATTGAGAAGTTCATCGACAAGAATAACTTTAGTCATTGGCGGATTAAGACGAGATGCTAAATGATGAGGTTTCGGTAACAACTTGTCGATGCAAAACCCATAAATACGGATGAGACTAGATCCCAACAACAAGAAGAGAAGGCTCATTTGACAATCATGATGTCCCTTTCGGGCGAAATTATATATGAGGCTTTCGATGGAGAAAGTGCAATGAGTTTGTGGCTCAAACACAAGTTGCTCTATATGACAAAGCCCCTCACCAACATGTTATTAATCAAATCACACTTGTTTGTTGATGATGAATGCATATTATGTGTTGAAAGATCATTTAGATGAGCTAAACTCCACCTTATGGACATAAAGAAAGTTGAGGTTAATTTTGAGGACGAGGATGTCACGATGCAGATCTTATCCTCTCGATCTCTTTGTCTTTTTCGTATGATAACTTTTCAAACTCATTGTTGTTTGGAGGGACAATCATCATGGATGGTGTTAGATCTAGCTTACAATATCGTAAGCTAAGGTACAAGGCATTGGGCAATAGATTACAGAGTCGACAGTCGACCAACAAGGTTGAACATTTCAAGGCGTAACAAGGATTAGTTTGAAATTGTGAAAGTGAAGCAAAGAGGCGGAAGGTCAAGGTGTCATGGTGTTTGTCGTTGAAAGGAGTGATTAGTGAAAAGGGAAACGATCAAAACATTGATGTCAGCAAAGGAGCATATTAAAGTGAATTGGACAAACATTTTGTCCTTTAGATGACAATTAAACATCAAGTCATCATTGTAAGCATAGTTGTAAAACACGACCTACTCGGCTGATTATTCGGAATTGGATATATGTCGAGACGATTTTCTAAGAATCGGGTAAAAAACCGGAATCGGTCAAACTCGGAGAAAATCGGTCCAACTCGGTCAAGTTGACCTACTCGCTAAACTCGGTTAAATCGGTCAAACTAAGGATGAGCATTTGAACCGGCCGGAATCGGAACCGGATAGAACTTGGGACCGGGATGATATTCTTGTTGATTTTTGGAACCGGTAGAACTGGCAAAAACTGAAACTGTAACAGAAATATTTCTCAAAATATGTTTGCTATTTCTCGAGGATCGGTTCCAATATTGAAGACCCGACAATAACCGGTAGGAACCGGTGATCCGGTTCGGTTCCTATTTTTCCACCAAGTTCGGTTCCCGGGCCGTTTTGATGCTCATCCCTAGGTCAAACTTAAGATGAGCTTGAGACATGTATGACTACTTATGACTTAGGTACCAAAATTGAAACTTTTGATGATGTTGTGATGACTTTCTAGATGACCTCACTTGTACGGGGGACTTGCAACTCCTTGTGTGGTACTTGTGTGATGGCTCACTTGTACCTAACTTTGTTTAGACGAGTATAATTAGTATTTAGTGTGCTTTGTTCTATCTTTGCACAAACATAGATTTGGTTATCATTTGTGAAATTTTTTGGACTTTGGGAATTTGTTTTAGATGCATGTCATGCATTCTGTTAACATTGTTGTGTTAGAGTGTGACTTGGAATTTAGTGAAGATACTAGAAAGATGGTTTGGAAAAGGGATAAGTGTTTGTAGTAGGTTGATGGTCGTTAGTCCGGAAGCCCCTAGCGGTATAGGTTTGTTTAGTTGTATATAGGCTCGATCCTATAGTTGTCAGGGCTTAGAATTATAAGTATTTGTAGCTAGAGATAATATTGTAATCACTTTGAAAACATTCGAGTAATAGAAGAGTTCTCCGGTTCTTGTCCATGAACGTATGTCACATCAACTGAATCACATTAAGTATCTTTGTTGTTTTATTGTTTTCCTTGATTGTATGTGTATATGTTGGTTGATATTTTTGATATTTTATATTGTTTCTAACAATATATTTATGATTGAAATGTTTATTTCCTCAAATATTGAATTTTACTAATCTTGATATGTTTTGTAACCTTATAAGGGTTTGCATTGTGTGTGGATTATACAAGTTTTCATGCACCTTACAATGTCCCCAGATAATCCTCATTAGGTTTTCCTAACCTACCATATTTATTTTATTATGTGTTCAGATTATGAGTTTTAAATGAAGATGAAAGGAGGGATAAGCTTTTGGAATTTGTAAAAGTCTTTAGTACTTTATTACGATGTATTAAGACACTACTTAACTTATGTCTCTTGATGTTATTGATAGATCCCCCTACCTTTAAACTATTAAGCTATTAAACTGTTATGAAGTTGAACATTTAGGATCTTATATGTAATTTTGTTTTTCAAAAAGTCTAAAATCTTGAATTAAAGTCGCTATTTCAAATAGCTCACACAATGGATGTTTCAGCCTGGCTTACGGCCTATTGTAGTGAGGTATTTATTTGATATAGGGATGTTTCTTTCTGTTTGTATTTGCAATCTCTAATCATTTACAAAAAATGGCTTCCTCAAGCAATGCTTAATAGAGCTTGAAGGTGTTTGATATCTTTAGCTGGTTACCAATTTAATCCAAAATTTGTTAGAACATCATTTTCAACAAGTCACACTACTTTAAAACGCAACACTATACAAAAGCTTGTTATAATGCGTAAAGATTTACATACATTGCTTGATCAATTTATTGGAAGAGTCGAGCGATATTTGGTCTTTTTTTTTTTTTTTTTTTTAAACGGTAACTCATTTATTTGCATAACAGTGCATTGGGTTAATGTACGATTTTGAATTTCCATATGTTCATCTTTTCGTATGTTTATCTTCTAGTAGTTATCTTATAGTTATCATTGTTTAGCCACTTGTATAAATACCATAGATGGTACTGACAATATTTTTTTGGAATCAATAAACAAAAAGCCTAACAGCTCTTGAATTACCAGTTTTATTATGGTATTAGAGTGGGTCAAATAGCTTGCTGAAATCGTGAAACAGAAGCAACAATGACGGGATCTGAGAATCCTGAAAGCAGCAATCCTCTTAACACTTCTTCAAATCCAAATTCTCCGTATCACATCCACCCTAATGAATACCCACGACAGGTTCGCGTCAATGACAATCTCAACGACAACAATTATGATGATTGGTCTAGGGAGATGAAAGATTTCCTTCTGGCTAAGAACAGAGTCGGTTTCATTGATGGAAAGATCATGAAACAAGTGAAAGACTCACAAGAAACGAAGTGATGCCTTGCATGGAGAAGGACATACGTAACAGTGTAAAATATGTTGTGACTGCAAAAGAAATTTGGGATGATCTTGAAGAAAGATTCGGAAAAGAAAGCGCGCCACGTGCTTACAAATTGAAGCGAGCATTGACCACGTTAAGGCAAGATAATGCATCAGTCTCGACTTATTTTACAAAGATGAGGGCTATTTGTGACGAAATTCAATTAGTTTCTCATGTTCCACAATGTACCTGTGGTAAATGCACGTGCAACATTGGAAAGAGACTTGTTGAAACAAAAGATAAGGAGCGTGTGTATGAGTTTCTCATGGGGATTGATGACACGTTTGGTATTGTCAAGACCCAAATCTTGAGTACCAAGCCGATGCCCTCTCTTGGCACCACCTATCATCTTGTTGCAGAGGACGAGCAATAGCGCAACATATATATATGTTGTTGTTGCTAGGAAGCCAGCCGATGATGTAGCTGCTTACTAGATCAAGACTCAAGTAGCTTATGATAAAGTTCAAGTTGAGAAGAAGAAAAATCGTGAAGGACTGAAATGCAAACACTGTGGGAAAGTCGGGCACACCATTGAAGGCTGCCTGCTTTGAGAAGATAGGCTACCCAGAATGGTGGGATAGCCGCCAACGTAAGCAAACCGGAGATCAACGAAAAATGTTCAAGCCAAAAACGAAGGCAACTGTTGTGGATATGGAGACCAGCCCTATACCAG